TCTGAATTACAGATCTATATTCTCTGGAACACTGGTGTCAAATCCATTCTTTGAGGGCCGGTGTCCCATCAGGCCCCCGTCCACAGAGGAAAGCCAGGATTTGGATTAAACTAACAAATTCCTCAGTGGGATAGGGGGTTCTGTCCACAAGAAGCTGCAATGAAACTGACAACATCTGAAACCTGCTCCAAGAGAGAAAAATTTCAAAGCCACCCCTCATGAGGTTTTCTGTGTGGACAGTACAAACTTCTTAAACGGCTATAAACCGCTAGGTTTAATCATGCAACCCAACGTAGGACTCATGCAGAGCGGTTTTTCTCCAGGACTCACAATGGTTTTATGGACTCACTTCCTTTTGCTAACAGCAAAAGAAATTGCCGACCTCAGAGCTGTATTTGTGTATTAGTGTATAAGCTATTCAATTTATTGTGGATTTTACACATTTTCTCCTCTATGCTGTTTGTGTGGGCCACGCCTCTTTTCCCAGTCCTGGGTTTGTCATTGTCTACGTATGCGGCTGATTTACAGTAAATATAACAAACAGATCAAACTTTTCTGCTGCCTAGGATTAAAATGACGTGTCTCAAATATAATTATAACAACATCTCAATCTATTCTTTATCCACCTGTTTACCTATGCATACGTAAATGCAGACATGTTCCCACATATCCTTCACACTTGAACTTATACCCATCAACTCAGTAGGGTTGCAACCAATGTGAGTCTAAAGCAATCGAGGTGGATTCTCCAAAAATCCCTTTTTATGGTCTGCTGACATACATGCACTCTGAGGCAAAGCAAAGCAGTCACACATGTGCTCCCCAACGTGCGCAGGCACATACATCATTCTGTATATATGCATGCCAATCCAGCAGATTTATATAAAAATAATTTATATCCTGGACTTGAAAGGTGGTTTTTGGCAACACTTGCAAACTCTGTTGATAAGGTCATTCCTGAAGTCTCCTGGGTGTCATCAAACACATCCATAGAGAAGCTGTCCTCATCTGGAGAGCAGGCCAGAGTGTGTCTGGACACACACCAGCTGGCTTTGATGCTTAGCGGTCAGCCATCGCTCTGCTTAGACAAGCAACACTTCAGCTGGTCATGTAATGTTAAGTGTAAAAAGGTGACTAAGTGCTCATAGGTCAGATCAAAAATAAAAACTGCAGAGTTGCAGAGGATGAACTGTGACCTGGAATTGCTACCTGAATATGGGCGCTGCATTTTTACAGGCATGCAAGGTGGAAATGCTAATAGAAAAGGCAGATTATAAAGAAGTTAGTGGGCATTAGAGGTCAGCCAATTTAGAATTGAACAGATGAGTATAAAGATTACCTGGAGAGCCAATCAACTGAACTGATTCAGTCTGAGGCCTGGAATTGTATAACGGTCCACTATTAAACTTTCTCAGGCATTCCTCCTCCTTAAAAGATTATCAGCAATAAAAAAAAAGTAGGGGTGAATTAGTTTTAGTTATCCTGATAGCAGGACCCTTCCTGCCCTCCATCATATACCATAGTCCTTAAAAGCCTTTTGGGTGAGTTACAAAAATCGTTACTCCTCTGTTTAGTTCATCAGGTTTGTTTTGCTATATTAGGTATTACCTAATTTTTTCTTTCTCTCACCAAACTTTGTTTTCTCCTGCCAGAGCTGGCAGGTACAATAGGCAGGCGTTGCTCAGCTACGTCACAGTAAATTATGGATCAGATGCCCGGTCAACTGTCAGTTCTATGGACTATGTGCTTCTGCCAACAACACTGCAGGCAGAATTTGGCACAAACACCCCCACCCTCAAGCCCTAAAAGCTATCAGAGCCACTGAGCCCCTCAACCAGTACTAAACCCCATGTGTTATGATCTAGAATTACTAGTTTGCGACACACAGGCACATATGGAGACACATGCTTAAGTTTATGAATAAACAACAGAGCATACCATGCATATGGTGCGCAGTCTCCATCTCTTTTCTGGAAGAACTCCAAGACGCCGTCTGATCTCAGAACAAGGTATTTTCTGGCCTGCTATAATGGGTTTATTTCTCACAATTACATGAAAGCATCTACATTCACAAAGACGCAACTCATTAACAGATGAGACAAGCATTTAAGCTGAGCAGCTGGACTGTTAATTTGATATCTGTTGAACAAAGAGCTCAGAGCGAGTCGCTTTAATCAGCATTACAGATTTTCTTTTGTTTGAGTCGGACTTAAGTGTGATTATCAAATTAACGTGATATTTGCCAGCATTAATCATCTCAAAGGTTAATTGAAAATGATGCAGAGAAAGGCAAAGGGAAAAGACAAGACGATGCAAAGTGAAGGGAAAGGAGACAAAGGAGCCATAGGCCTATATTCAGGAGACAGTGAATTTAACACCTGGAGCTCTCAGTCTCATAACAGTCCCTGGCCTGTGGAGCACAGGGGTCAGGCCTGATCCAAACCCACAGTGACAAGTGCAAATGGAATTTTGCTGTCTGTCTCCACAATCTCTATACATACTGTGGAGTATACAGGGACACACATGTCAGGTTTAGAAAAAAAAAAACCCAACAGCAACAAAAAAATAGGCTTCTCCTCTCTTCTTCTCTAAAAACAAACATTCACACTCTTAGTAAGGAAGAAAACAGACTAGTAAAACAAACTCAATTTCTTAAAATTTTCAGCTTTCTTAATTTGGTATGTTTCCAAAATTTTTATCTGTGATAATCTAAACAGGTTAAATTTCAATAGGACTTGGTGATTAAATAAAGGTAAACACTTTTTTTTTAACTACATCCCTTTTATAATGCCCTAAAAATATATTAAACTTTTGTTTTATGAGATTACAACAACAAAAATCAATGTGGATTTTAAGGATTTTAGGCAGTATGGGCATGTAGAAGAGGATACTTGGAAATTAATCATGGTTTTTATTGAGTGTGGTTTTGTTTTCTGCTGAAAGGTGAATCTGCAGCCAAGATCTTCAGCGGTTTGAGCTTCCCCCCCTCATGCCCCCCTCTTTTTATAGCTGCATCATCTTCTCATTAACCATAATCAGGCTTCTTTAATTGAGGCCAGTTTTGAGGACATTGGTCTTTTGACAGAATCTCTCACATAAGCTGTGAACCTCTGCAGCTCCTCCAAAGTTACTCTAAGCCTCTTGGCTGCCACTTCGAGTAATCCTCTCCCTCATAGACTGTATAGAGAGGGTGTTCTGTGAGATGCTCAGAGCTGAAGGTTTTGATTTAAAGCAAACCTTCCTTCAAACTCCCCCCTACAACTGTGTCTCTGAGCAGGCTGGTGTGCTCTAAGGTCCTGAGGGTGCTGTTCGTCCACTACCTCTCTCTGACACTCACTTGAAGCCGTTGCAGTGAGTTGCAATTACACATACATTAGGCGACATACAACATAAGTATTTCTACTCATTTTGGAGGTAATTAGTCAGACTGAATCAGGGCTGAATTCAGAAAGATGTTGCCACATTTTCTGTTTTTTCTTTATTTCCCAAACATGTATGGATCTATAACAATGGTCAAAATGAGAAAAAAAAAGTTTAAGCCAAGTGAATCCTTTTGAAATTCTCCATAATGCTCATCTCTGAGCGTTGGTCACAAAGTATTGCTCACTTAATCACATGTTCTCCAAAATAAGCAACCAAAAATTCAGAACTGTGCATGAGAGCATCATGTGTGGCCAACCATGGTGTGTTGATTCGCTCACTTCTCTTGATTAATCACCCGACACAAAGGCTCGCAGAGAGACCAGTTTCTATTGTTGAGCAGAACTACCCAGCAGAAAACCTCTGCGTTAAGAAAACTCACCAGTGAAGAGAAGAAAAGCAGTGACCCATGAATATATTAGATAACTGTTATGCAGAACATGCTTAAAATGCAACGTCCTGAGTGTCAAACATGATTCAAAAGAGATGTTTAAAATGAGTAACAAAAGCACCTGCAACTTTTACACGGAAATGCTTTTTCAGTGAAGGTGTGAGGAATATTTCCAATGTTCACTATTAAAATTATGTTTTACATGTATGCCACCCGCACAGCAGTAAAAAAAATAAAAGAAACATTGGTTTTCTTAGAAATTAAATGTGGAAAGCATGAAATATGCAGCCAGCTCCCATCATGCCATCACTTATGCTTCTGACACAGGCTTTCTCTGCTCTGTTCCCACCACATGTTTTATTCACGCCTGATATTCTTAAAGCTGAACAGAACAATTTATTTCCCCTCACTTGTGCTACCTTTGATTTCACAGATGAATATTTCAGAGGCATGTCAGAGAAGATGGAGAAACACCCCTCTGCGGGGCCGGCGTCTGACTGACGTCTTTACAAGACAGCTTTAGGTGATCCTCTCGCAGGACTCACTTAAGCAGCAGATTTGCTTAATTTTCTGCACGATTTAACGATTTAGGGAGAAAGTGTTCAGATGCATGACAGGGGAAGAGGCAGGAGGAGAAGACAGAATAAAAGTGAAAGGAGAAAAGGTAGATAAAGACCAAAGGAGCAAAGCCAACAGGACTGGTGAGACATTTCTTTAAATATCACAGAACATTTCAGGGAACTTCAGTCGTTAAACTTGACACTGAAGCAGTTAAGAAGAGGAGCAAAAACTAAGCTGAATTTCTGAATAGAAATGCAAAAAGGAAAAACTAGATGAAAAAAGTTTAAACAAACAAATAAATGAATAAATGATCGACACATGCACAAAAGAAATTAAATGAATACAAAAGAAATGAACACTTCTGCTCCTGCTTATTCCAGTCCCTAATGTCTATTTATACCTGACTGGAATGCCAGTGAGTGACTGGCTGCCTGATTGGCACATTCACACATTCACTCACGCACAGCTTACACAGGCAGGGCTATTGTTCTGTTTCCATCTAAAGAAACCCATGTGCACTACAATAACACAGCCTTAGCTGAAACAATGGGAAGATAATACTCAGACTGGTGGTTTCTCTGTCATGGATACACAGATAAGAAGGTGAGGAAGAAGAGATGGCACTCACAGTCTCTCAGTGTTGCGGGGGATACTCCTTGGCATAGTTTTGAGACCCAGTCCATGGCAGTCCACTGTGGTGCCGCTGCAGGTACAAAGCGCTGGGCAGGCGATTGCATTGCCCAACATCAGGGCAGAGAGCATCAGCAGCCACATCCAGTGCCCAGCCAGCCCACCCATGCTTGATCCAAAACTGCTACCTACAGCCAGCATTCTCATAGCCTCTTGTTCCTTTTTTTTTCTTACTTGATTTTGTCCTTTATTTATTTTCCTCCTTCTTTTTGCCTTCCTCAAGTCCTGCAACACCTCACAAGTCTGATGGAATAATTTTATCTACTTGGAAAGTAGAAAAAAAAAAAGATCTTCCACACAAATCCTATAGTTCTAGTGATGTAACCTTGATATGCACTACAGTTTTTCCATGTAAAAAATAAGATGTTCTCTTTCTTCCCTCCTTCTTGAAAACTCCACTCCTGTCTCGTCTTTGTGGAGTTGGTGTGCTCTGGTCTGCAAACGTCTGTCCTCCTCTCACTCAGTCCTGCTCTGCTCTGCTTGTCTGAAGAGAGAGGGAATAGGGAAAGAGCAGAAAGCAAAAAAGCCAGTCTCTCTCTCCCCTTTACACACACACACACTAGTCATCCATCACAAGGATCTACAAATAGCAGATCCCCCCGACTCCACCCCTACCCCTCCTGTTCACCCTCACTCCTCTCCCTCCCCATACAACACCCCCTCCAACACAACCCTGCCTGAACTCACACTCATTCCTAAGATCCCCCTTTCATTCCTTTGACTCTCCTCACAATCAAATCTACTCCCAATATCTTCCTCTTTTCAGCCGCTTCTCGCACACTTATCCAACTCATTCTTTTCACTCAGGTTTGCCTCCAGGCGAACCCCACAGAGAGGGAGAGAGACAGACTAACCTGCATGACACTACAGAGCTTCTGCCCGGAGGGAGAGGCCACGTGTGAGAATCCACAGGGGATGAGAAGAATTTACACCCTAGTCCAGTGATGGGAAATAAGACTGAAAACATTATCAAGTACGATATCTTGGAAAAGTAATCAATTGTACTTCTGCATATTTTGTTTCATCATAAACACAGACTTGTGTATCCTTTACTGTGATTTTAGTGGAAAGTAAGATTATCTTCGATTGTTAAATTGTTAGAGTGTTTTTCTGACTTTTAATATTGGAGAGGTGCTCTCTGCATTTGCCCTAATAACCCTAATTAAAATTCAGTGAAAGGGATTAAATAGAGTCCACCAGATAACCCTGATGAACAAAAAGCATCATGAAGAACAAGGAACATAGAGGCTAGAGGTGGAGAACTTAAAGCCAGTGTTTGGCAGCATGGAACAGAGAAGCTGGCTGGAGATAATGAGATGATGTGTAAAATACATGACAACCTGAAGGACTGCTGCAAAAGGCACAAGACTACAATGTGGTGGTTTAGATCAGTGGTCTCCGACTCCAGTCCTGCCACTTTTAAGATCCCTCTTCTTATACAACTGAATCAGATAAATGGTTCATTAATAGCCCTCTGCAGAATATGATGAAATGCTGAGAAAGTAATTTGGTCATTTGATTTAGGCTCTTTGGAGCATTGAGGCACCTAAAAGTTTCAGGATGGTGCCTCTCTCAAAGACCAAATTTGAAGATCCAAAAGCATGTTCATTTGTTGTAATGGTGAAATCAAAATCCAGACCTAAATACTGAGATAAAAACTGTCAAAAATTATAAGCTGATGTTCACAGATTCCTGCCTGCCAATCCAACTATGACCTGTGGAAAAGGGTAGGTATGAATACTTTTAGGTCATTCCTTGGGCAGCAGCAGATTCAGAGACTGCCACAGAATCTCAGAAATAAAGAATCTCACAAAGCTATAAAAAAAATTAACAAATTTATAATACTTCGCAGTCAGGCAGAATAGCTTAGCACATTCACATAAAAAAAAAAGTCAACCAGCTCCACCAAATTCATATCTGCTGTTGTCTTGATGTGTTATTCCAACTGGAACACAACCTCTTACAGAGAAAGAATCTTAGATTCCCAAAAGTGGACTCAAAAACCAAGAGAGCTGGACAGAGTTCTGCTGAGGAAAACTATGCATGTGAAGGATTGTGTGAGCTCCCGATTTCTGCAAAATACATTTAGTGAAAGGAGCATGTATATTAGGGTTAAAGTGTAGCTATACCTGTCGGGGGGGAGAAAAATAAATTTTTTCCACACTTAAATTTGCACTTCAGGAAACTACAAATCAGTACTTCAGGATTTCAAAAATTCAGGGCATTTGGTTCATGATTCTGCACAAGTAAAATAAATGGTAAAAACAAACTGTAACACATTAAACAGAGAACATATTGTGAGAATTTCTCAGGGCAAAACAACCTCTGATCAGGACTTGAAAGGGAGTTTGCATGCAAAGCATCACGCCACAATGGAATGACAACCATGTAAGCTGTTTAGTGCCATTTAGCGTGCAATTTAGTTTTAATCAAGAAGGTCTGTTTATGTAGGACGTCTAATGTAATTCAATTATGCATGTACAGTTTGGCAAATTGCCCGCACGGCACTCCAACCATCTTCAGTTGGGTTAAGCTTAAGACTGTTGGCTTCTGGCTGCATTTCAGATATTTTATATGGATCTTTTTATTTCAAAAGAAGTGTAAAGATGAGAGAAAAATTCAGAAGAAAGTAAATTCTTCTTTACTAAATTTGACCAACAGCATGCATATTTATAAAAGAAAAGAAAAATCACATAATACAGGAAAAAAAGTTCCATTTGTCCTTGTAAAAATGTCACTTGGGTATAGATCTTCCCTTTATGAATAGCTAATTAAAGAGGCGACAGTGGTGTTTAGTGGTAATGGGGGGGTAGTAACATCCCTCTGCTCTCACACAGTTGATAGGAATGCACACAAGTATATAAGAATGACTCCTCAGCTCCTAAAGCAGTGGGACAACAATGCAGCAATTACAACTGTCTGGCAGAGGAGATGTTTGCAAAACACAAGACCTCAAACAAAGGGGGCCAAGAGGACGAGTTACAACTGATTTACATTCTTGTGATTCAGAAATTCAAATAAGCAAGAGAAGTTAAGCCACTTTTTTACACAATTTATATCTACAAAATGAGAACCGTTCTTCAGGACAGAGAGCTGGTGTTTCATACCTGAGAGACTTGTTTCTCTCTTCCTCTTTGGGCTTTGAGTAAAATGATAAACAGGAGGCAAAGTTAACATTTCCAGGGTTTCACAAACTGTTTATCTTCCATCAACATCCATTATATTACATTTTATATAAGGGACAGATTTGGCAAATTCAGGGAAAAGGACCAAAACAAACCACATAAATTATAAAATTACAGTCTACTGGACTCAGTTCACAGTCTATTTTTGTGGAATACCAAAGGGAGTAAAAAGCCCTCCTTGAAAAACCATACATTGCTTCACTGAAACCAATTCGCTTTTGTGAAGAAGTTAGAAATACAAAAGAAAAAAATCACATATGTTTCTGTGATATATACTCACCCCCCAACACATACACAAGCACACAAAAAACATTATCCAAAAAATATTCACTTCTTTCCCTAAGGAATTTGTCTTTGCTACCACTGGTCATTTTGCAGTGTTCAACATTAAATTTATGCCCTTTAAAAATTTAACTATCATCTGACTGTTTATATTACAGAATATGAGCTCAAAAAAAGGTAACAATAAAGAAGAAAGGCATCTTGGATCATCTCCAAATGCAACATGTTGAGTAGAGGGCTCCGTAGCTCACAACCATTTGCGACTAAACTGCATCACCTTGTGGTTGCAAAGGAAAGTACAGAACAAAAGTGACAAAGACAGTTTAAAAAAAAATAACTTTCTTACTTAATCACACACCAGATATTCAAAAACAGAAATAAGCTTAAGAAAAAGTTTTAAAGTGTTACAGTAAGTTGCATAGCTCTGGAGAAGCAACAGCATCATCCATTTACTAAATCTAGTATATAATAAAAACATTTTAAAATGAGACATAATAAAAACTTTGGCCAAAAAAGCAAACAAACTATTTTGGGATCTTAAACTGTACTAAATTTTGCACATAAATAAAGAATAGGCTACGACACAGCTTAAAGTATCAGTAGTATAAGAAATCTGTGTTTACACAAATTTTTTTTTCAGGAGGAAAAAAAATAAGAATCTTTTTGCATTTCTTTTAATCTCCCTTTTACAAATCTCCCTGTACTAATAACAGAATCATTTATATCAAATAAAGTCTTTCCTATTTTTTGTCATATTTGACAGGAAAACTAGAAGAGAAACTCAACTTAACATTTCAGAAAATGTCTAGTTTAAGGCACATTTTTCTGTAGGCAACATTCCTACAGAACCAACAAAACAAACAGAAAATCACATTTTCTTTAAGACATCTGAGGCAGAAAACAAATGTAACATAGCATTAGAAAAAATATTAATTCTTAAACCAAAATCCAATAATATCATACTGAATATTGCTAAAAGAAATCCACTGGCCTGAAATTTACTGTAAGTATCCTGCTGTTTAGTAACTGTTGTTAGAATTTAGTTTCATATTTTCTTTGGGACATTTTTAAACCAACAAGTTTCACACCTTAGGAAATGAAACACAAAATGCTAAAAAAAAAAAAAATACAACAGGTAACAACTGCTCTTGTAAACTTTACAGCAAATAAATTAGCATAGCTTCTTTAAGACTATAGATGATCGGATTGATGTTTCAGAGGCTTTGAGAAGTACAGTCCTTAAATAGTGATTTACCCTGAAAGAGAGAGAAAATAGGTTAGTTTATTTTATTTTTAAAATTACACTTGTAAGCAACAAAGGCCTGCCATTAGACAGCCACAGATACTACATTGGTAAACAATGACACAATGATCCAGCCTTGCCACCTACTGATGAGCAAAACAAAAGATGACAAATGCTTTAATAAAAATGTTTGTATTGATTTCGAATGTTGTAGTTCAACTTGACAGAACTGTGACTCAATTAATTTCACCACATGTAAACTCATGTAGTATCTTTCTTCATTCATTTTACAAGTATTAGAAAGGTACTCACTTACTGGGTTAAGGGTTTTTCAAATGTTCTCCAACCAAAAGTCTGAAGAGTATCACAGGTATATTAAGCTCCTTTACCACTAAAGTCAAATTCAGCCAACCCTCTTATTAAAAAAAATGACCATTTAGAAAAACAATATACACTTGGATTTTATTTGATCACAACATTAATGTAATGATAAAGAGAACCTTGGAGAACAAATAAAAATCCAAGGAACACATCAGGCAGGTCAGGGATATAAGTGAGAAGGAATTAAAATCAGAGAGAGTTTTTAATAAAAAACATGTCTTAAGATTTAAGAGACCTCTGGCAGGAGTCTGCATCAGCTGGAATGATTGTTTAATCATTCTACATTGGACCTGACCTGTCTGTAACCCCATGTAACTCAATATAGCATTCCCTGTCAAGGTCTCCCTGTTGACATTTCAGAATAAAAGCACAGGATAAACTTAATACCAGGGACTGCTGCTAAATTTTTCTCTATGAACAACTTTTGAATCTCCATGGGGAGATCATCTATTTTTGGAAAAGCCCCAAAAGCTCTGAAAAAAAAAAGTAAAAAAAAGAAAAAGTCCACTTTATTTCATCCAGAGCTGCGTCTGGATGATGGTGGGATTCAGCGGTACTTCCTTGTTAATCTACCCATGTAGTAAGCACCAATGCTGGGCAGCAGGCAGTGACAGACTGGTGTCGGTGCTGGAGGTAAGGGAGGATGAGGACAGGTCGTTCCAGGGCTACATTAAAACTACTTTTTTAAAGCCACCTAAAACACCTATTGAGAGCATCCTTATTTCTACCTTTTTTTTTTAACATTATTCATCTTTTTATTCCATATTAAGTGAAAAAAACCTTCACCCACAACCAGTCCCTGACAACACCTCAGTTCTATTTAGTTTTACGAGGTTAGAGCGGAGCAGTGTAGGACCTCACCACATGGATTCACCGCTGGCCGTTTCCCGTGTTTGTTTAGGAATTTTATGTGAATCCACTGCAGACACTGAAACCAGTTTGAACGCACCATGAGAAGATCAAACCATTTGACCGGTCAATGTCCCTGTTCTGTGGATACTTCTGTGCATACAGGAGCATATATTGGGCACAAATGACCATGGGTGAGGTCCAAGAGGCAAAGTTGTGGTCCAGATGCCCTTATGAGGCCTACCTTATAAATTTAGGTACCCTGAAATCAAACCCCTATACAAACAGCCTTGTACTTTCAGTGGCCTTAACCCTGATGGATGCTGCTCAAAAAATAAATGGAACACATGGGCAGCACATAGACAAACTTGTGAAACAACTTTCCACATATGAAGCAACACTGATTGGCAATCGATTTCACGTGCTGGTGTCTAAATAGAACAGACAACAGGTGGAAATTATTGTCCATTAGACACATTCAATAAAGGGGTGGTTCTGCAGGTCGGGACAACAGAAAACTTCAGCACCTATGCTTTCTGGTTGAAGTTTTAGTCATTTTTGAATGTTGGTGGTACTTTCACAGTTGTGGTGCATGAGACGGACTCTACAACCCACACAATGGGCTCAGGTAATGCAGTTCATCCCGGATGGCATATGAATATGAGATGTGTCAAGGTTTGCTGTGTCTGTCAGCGTAGTGTCCAGAGGCTGGAGGTACTACCAGGAGACACGCCAGTACACAGGAGATGTGCAGGATGCTTGGCTTTTGCCAAAGAACACCAGGATTGGCAAATTTGCCACTGGCGCCTTTTGCTCTTCACAGATAGAAGAAGGTTCATACTGAGCGCATGTGACAGAGTCTGGAGACATTGTGGAGAGTGATCATCTACCTGCACAACCTTCAGCATGACCAGTTTGGAAACGGGTCTGCAATGGTGTGCAGTGCTGCACAGCCCTCCATGTGCTTACCAGAGGTAGCATGACTGGCATTAGGTACCTAGATGAGATACTCTCCACTTTTCTGAACGAACAAGATGGGGATTTGAGGGCCTGAAAGTTTAAATGTGTATAAGTTTAAGTTAATCATCATCTTGGATGACTCTTTCTACTCCTGAATGCAGACAAAACAGAATTTATAGTCTTTGGACCAGAGTCTTTGAAAAAGAAGCTGATTAGTCGGTCACTTTATTTGGATGGGATTAAACTGATTTCAGAGAATAAAGTAAAAAACCTTGGTAATATGTTTGATCAGGAACTATCATTTAAATCCCATTTCAAATTAGTTTCTATAATTTCCTTCTTTCATCTGCCCAATAATGCAAAAATTAGAAATATCCTGTCCAGGGGTGATGCTGAGAAACTAGTCCATGCATTTGTTACTTCAAGGCTGGACTATTGTAATTCTCTACTATAAGGAAATCCACAAACTGTAGTTAAAAGTCTTCAGCTGATCCAAAATGCTGCAGCCAGAGTTCTGATGAAAATTAAAAAGAGATCTTATCTCTCCTATCCTGGCTTCTCTTCATCGGCTTCCTGTTAAATCCAGAATAGAATTTCAAATCCTCATTCTTACATATAAAGCCTTAAATGGCCAAGCTCCATCTTATATCAGAGATCTGACTGTTCCTCAGTTCCTAACAGAGCACTTCGCTCTCAATCTGCAGTTATACTAGTGGTTCCTAGAATTTCTAAAAATAGAATAGGAAGCAGATATTTTAGTTATCAGGCTCCTCTCTTATGGAACCAGCTACCAGTTTTAGTCCATGAGGCAAACACCCTGTCCACCTTAAGGCAAGGCTTAAAACTTTCTTTTTTGATAAAGCTTATAGTTAGAGTGGTTGAGGTTATCCTGAGCTGTCTCTGCAGTTATGCTGCTATAGGCTTATACTTCTGGGGGACATAGGGACCCCCATTTCATCATTCTACTTCATTTTATATCTGTTCTTCCACTCTGTAGAATCGGTTAGTTCAATCTCTAACTTAATGCTATCTCTGCTTTTCCTCATAGTAGTTTTATCTCATCTGTTCCTGTTTGGCTGTGACACCATCCTGGAGAGAAATATCAGCTGTGTTGCTGTCATCAACACCTTTGTGTATAGATGTTGGAGATCAGCCTGTATTTCCGTGTACTCCAGTTTCTCTGACTATGACTAGCTGGATGTGCTCTCTTCATCCTTTGACATGGGAGCTGGCTTGGAGCTTGTCTGCCTGGCTGTGTGTTTCCTGGACGGGGCCGCCTTTTACAGCTGCTTTTTGTATCTCTGCTTCTGTCTCCTTGAACCTCAGTCGACCCTCGCCAGATGGCCGCTCACACTGAGCCTGGTTCTGCTGGAGGTTTCATCCTGTTAAAATCGAGTTTTTCCTCTCCCTTGTCGCAACAAGCATGTATGGTGTGAGGAATTGCCTTTGCGTCAATGATTTGATGCAATCAACTGGTTTTCCTTAGGTAGAAAACTGTGAATAAATTTGAATGTATGATCTGGTGAACTGTAAAGTGCCTTGAGATGACGTGTTGTGAATTGGAGCTATATAAATGAACTGAATTAAATTGGATTGTTGTTGTGTAATTTTTTGGTGGAAACTTTATATTAAAGTTAAGGCCGTGCAAACCAACACTACCGCCCACCATTTGAAAATATTGATCCCAATGCTGCCCGTCATCCTCTATACCCCCCTTTTGAGAAGCCCTGCCGTTAAGGGATTTAGAGGTTGTACAGTGTTCCACAGGCAAGACGAAAAACACACTGCTCCTCCTAAGATGGAGGTTCGACAATCACCAAGACTTTCATTTCAAGCACGCTCCAGTACCCCTTCTTGTAGGGAGAGCCACCACTCTGGTCTGCCAATCTGCTCTGCCAATCCAGGGGCACCATTCCTGACTGCCATGCAATGCTGAAGAAGTGGGTCAACCAGACAACAACATGCAGACCCAAGATACTCAGCATCGCCTCATCCACCCCTAAAGCCTTGTCACAGGGGAGATTTGGGACATGATAATGACACATTAACTAATTAATGTATAAGAATGGCTCAAAAATAGCGATCCATGCCAAGACTTGCTTTTATTTGTGAAATTTTTTTTTTTAAACCAACAACAACAAAACAGGTAATTCTTTTCATAGTACTTGCCAACTTCTAACCACTTTGTCTTTTTTATGAAACACAAAAGATGCATCTAGGCTTAAGGCTGTAATACAGCAAAATCTGAAAAAGTTGAAAGGATATCAATTGTTTTGCAAGGCCCTCTACATGGATATTCCCTCCATTGCCTTGATTAACATTGTATCACCTGTTTCACCTAAATTTGTTATAAATCTGTTTTTGATAAAGGTTTTAGCTGCTGTGTTCACAGGACATCCTGACCGAGTCAGTTTCTAGGGTGATAGTTCAAGGATTTATTCTAAGGTTGAATATTGCTTTACTTACATTCTGCTTTTGAGTTGTTTCTATTAATCTACCCATCACTTCAGGAGCTCGGAGGAACACTCTTCACTTTGCTGCTGTCTTTGTCCATTGAGACTTTGGCCCCCAATCCCTTTCTCTGTTATATAAGTGAAATGATAATTCATAGAAAAGAAAAAAATTATGGCAGAAGGTTAGTGTGGAAAATAACAAGTCTGAGCTATGTAAAGAACGTTAAAGATTTACAAATCCTTAATATGAAAATGAGTCATGGATTAAGATATCTGATGGAAGCTTTAGAGATAATTATATATTAGAAATCTTATGAGCTTACCTTGATTAATCCACCCGCAGAGCGAGAACGCCAGTGTCTCCTGATAAACGGTGTCCGGGTCTCTGCAGAAGAAGTCGGGTCAGGCTGCTTTTCCAACTACAAAGGAGATTACACCTTATTAAAAACTGATAACAGTGATCAATTTCATGACCTTTGTATTTGAATAGTCTCACTAAGTTACCTGTCTGATGAGTTTTTGCTTCTTGGCAGACTCTGGCATACTGTTGACCTCCTTGTACAGTTCTTTGAGGCAAGACTCAGTATAGCTCTGATTTTCACAAGGGTGGATGGTGCTGGTTCTGCTCGTCTCACCTGTGATTGATCTTACGGAGGGGGAAGGGGACGAAGCTGCAATCACAGTGGTGGGGCCAGTTTTGCTTCCTGAAGCGAGATTCAGGTCATCCTAGAAAAGAAAAGATATATGCTGATGATTGTTGCACAAACAAACTTAGTCAAGCAGGAATATGTAACCGTATTTTAAAAGGTCTTAGCAAAGACATCTTTTTCATTCCCAACTGCAGAGAGTAGTTAAAGAACTGTACAAAATATAAAACAAATATCTAAGTTTCCAAATTCAATTTCATCTTGGAAAAGGCTTAACAAATTACAGTCATATAGCCCTAAGAGATACTGATGACTCTGCCCCTTCATCATTTTCTGGTTTAGGTTGTTTCCAGCAATGAGATACAGACATTACCATTTAGAGACTTTTTTACCTCCAGACAATTAACAGCAGTTCTCTATAGCCTACCCATAGTCTGCTATAAAAAAAAGTAATTTTAGGATCCTAATAACTCTATAAGAATTATGTCAGATTGAGTTATTTTGGTTTTATTGGGGGAACACAGATAATTGGAAATAGCCTAAAACACAAAATCTCAAGAAAGCATAGACATGTTGGCCAAACTATATATATATATATATATATATATATATATATATATATATATATATATATATATATATATATATATATATATATATATATATATATATATATATATATATATATATACACACTGAAATATATTACCGTACACTGAAAAGAAAAAACTGTATTCAAAGTCTGTAACTTAAGCAGCGTATTTTGACTTGAAAACCAATTTAAGTTCTTTAAAGCAATGTCATTACCACAGGTTAATGGTTTCAAGGGTGGCCAAAGACATGGGCTGTCTTTTGTTAACACTGTAATATAGAGATCCATTGTATTTTTACTGAATGTAATCTACAGACAGACCTTCAAAACAAAACAACAGTCTCAAGAAAAAGATATTTAAATAAATAATAGATCATGAAAATTTACCTGAACAAAAAAAATAATAAAAAAATCCAGTGGTTTGTTAAAGTGGGGTGGAATTAAAAGTTAATCCAGATTAAAATGGGCTAAAACTGTCTTCACACTGTTCAGACTTTGTTTTCTGTTACACTAAAAAATGTGCACTGCCGCAATCCACACTCGATGTGTTTAGAATCCGTTCATGTACGTATAAAAGAGCTCCTCTTATTATAAAATGTACTGCATAAATTTTATCCTCTCCATGTATGACTTCCTGTCTTTCTCATCTGTTTCTTTTTTTGTTTGTTTTTTGACAGATGACAAAGAAGAGCCCTCTACCATGCTGAGGACAGTGGGAATAACCCCATCGACTAGAATGGCTTCGATTTGAAAACAGAGAAGAAAAAGTCACAGATGACAGTCAGGGAGAATGAAGACTAAAAGTTGAGGAACAGACCCAGAGCAAAGGTAAAACCTTCTCTCGTAAGACAAAAAAAACAAAACAAACTTACCGTACTTACATTTGACTGCAGACTTTTGGATCCAGTGTAGTATAATCGAGCATATTTGTTGATATAGAGAGGTGCCTTCAAGGGATGCAAACATGTGCATTAAAATCTGATGAAAACTAAATTGATTAGTGTAATTAGAAATATAATACACTACTAACCACAACAGTGAAAAAAATAGCAGTCAGCAGAATAGATTTAATAGTTATAATAGTACAAAATGTATTTTAGGGGAATCAATCTTTGCACAAATAAGGTTAAAGCTTCTTATTATCCGACAAATTAATTTCAAATCATTGTTGAGATGTGATCAGAATACAAACAAGTCATATTGTCACTAGGGCTGCTCTTATTACAAAGCAATATGTAGATGAAATCTACATCTTGGCATTTCCTTGGATTTCTGTTTGACAGACAGACAAATCCACTACATGGACATAATAACAAAGCTGCTGCTCAGAATTTGAATGACTTCACCACTAAGTGAAGCAACAGGAAAAGCTGACATTTAGTTACGTGCATCAAAAATCAGTGGGAATGTTTCATTACACAGCAGGATGATGGTCCTAAAAGAATGTCTTAAGTGCTTTTTCAGAGTAAATAACCTGACTAGGTTGTGAATGTGTTATTCTTCATGCAGTAAACCAGGCTAAAATGTGTAAGTTTCACAAAAATAAAAGGTAAGTGTGCTGTACATACAGCGGTTTGATTAAAAGGTTATCAACCATAAAACCAGAATCCCCTCCTCTCTCTCAAAGTACTCCTGACCTGTTGAAAATGATCCAAAGTGTAAAGTCTAAGCATGTTATAATAGACATGCTGTCTGACTGGTGACTTAAAGAACCTTCATAGATTTGTTCTGTTGTGACCAAATTCTCTGGTCATATCCTTTAATCTCTCTATTTCTTGTAACCCGGGCAACATCCCTACTCTGATAGTCTAGTTGCTAAGGAAAAGAAAGCCAAAACAAAAATGCATACAGTTAAAAAAGCAATCAGAGAGCCCTCTTCCACAAGGCCATCTTGCTTGAGCTGAAATTCAACACTGTGTTTTGCATCAGCAGTCAGAAGTCAGACTCCTAAAACATCTTTACAAAAAAGCTGGGAATAAAGTGGGTTACCTTGAACAATTTTTGTGAGTGCCGGATGAGAAATGCTACCCCATTATTCAGTTTCTCTATGCTTCCCTGGAGATCACTTGCAGTCACCTACAGCATGAAAATATATATTTTTAAAAGTGTATATTTATTCAAAAGAAATTTCCAGAAGTTTATCTAAAATACTTTAAATATTTAAGATCATTACATTTTTGGGCCAGATGATATGTGGAGCGAACATCGTGGCCAAGTTAATAGCAGACATCTTGTTCAAGTGCTGAGTGCGGGCCGTGTGGTACAGTAAGTCTAGCAGCAGCTTCATCAAGCTGCGGTTGGTCGGTGGGAGCAACATAAAAAGCAGCTGATATGCTTCAATCTGCCGTTCCTTATTGGGGACATCAGTTTTATTCCCGTTCTCGTCAAAACGAGTCAAATCTGAACACAACAGACAAATAAAGGATTAGAAAACAGCAAACTTGGGCCATAAATCTAACCTGCATATAATTCAACAAATACCTCCAATCTTCAGGTGAGCATGATAATGTCTATGTGTGAGCAGAGGCTCTGGCAACTCTCCAAGGTACACCTTGAGCAAAGTAGCAGCATCATTGGGATGGAAGTCACCTGTCTCCAGATCTATCTCAGCTCCGTTATTCAGCATCTCTCTTAATGCTGCTTGCCTCAAGCTGTGGCCTGGAACCCGAAACAACCCTTCCACATGAAGGTCTGGGAATAAGGGCGAGGAGAGAGAACATCAGGGAGGGAAACGGGGAGGATGGAGGTATTTTAGACGCAGAGCGATGAAGACAAACACACAAGAAAGAGGGAGACGAAATGGGTTGGGATGAATGAAATAGAGGGAGAGAGCCAGCAAGAGCAAAGTGCTTTAGGATAAATTATTGACTGATGCACTTGGTTCCAGAGACTGCTTTCAGCGATGACATCATTCCTTTCTAGAAATAACCACGACCTGATGATAACTCACTTTTCATTAAGAAAGTTGAAAGTATGGTTTCTCAATGGTTGATTTAATTTTGATAATATTGAAAAGAACTGACAGGCGAATGTCTGCCAAGATACATACTCACATACACACTCTCATGGACTTTTTCACATTTTGTTAGCGTGCCAATAAAACATGTAAGCAGGCCAGCTGACAGCCTTAGACAAAACCTTCAGAATTGACAAGAGGGGGCCTGTTAGTCATACTTTGTATGAAGTGTATACATACACACGATAGATAGATAGATAGATAGATAGATAGATAGATAGATAGATAGATAGATAGATAGATAGATAGATAGATAGATAGATAGATAGATAGATAGATAGATAGATAGATAGATAGATAGATAGATAGATAGATAGATAGATAGATAGATAGATAGATAGATAGTTTTCTGGAAGCAAGAGAAACAATAGTTAATAGTTCATTAAATATATGAAAAAATTATATTTATTTATTTATTAAGGTTAAATAACTAATTGTATTTATTTAATGCATGCATCTCAAGTAACATTTAAATGTTTTCATTTACAAATAGCGACCTTTCCGGTTTTTAATTTATGAGCGTTGTGGCACGTTTGGCTTTCCATGTCTGCCTCCAGTCACATTTGATCCCATTTATAGTTTTTAACCTGTGTGATTTCTACTTGTGTGACATGTTGAAATTGGACCACAAAAAGTTCTGGTCAAAACCAATAAAGGCTGTACAGTAGGATTTTCTATGTATTTACTTCCACCGCAGTATTGTTGCAGCCATGGACGCGCCATGTCTAAATTCAAATCTTTACCTCATACCTTCATATTAAAGTGATGGAGCTGCTGCCTGACCTTGTACAGAGGACGTCCCGTCCCGTCTCCACCTGCAGTGCAGCTAATCTTATGTATAGCAGCTTGATAAACTTCAGAGAAACTGCATCAGTAAGCAGTTAGAAGGAATGGCAGGTGGGGGTACTTCCCAATACTGCAGTGGATCATCGAAAGAAAGTAATAATGGGAAATGAATTTATGAAACTTAAGAATAAAGCTCAAATTGATTAATTTCGTTCCACATCTTTGAAAAAATAATATTTGTGGCAAAAGATATGGGGGGACTGATTCAGGGCCGCCCCTGTACCCTGGGCCCGGGAAAAGTGGCCCGTTTCTCCCCCCTGTCGGTGGGCGTACATGTAAGTATTTAATTGGGATTTTAAGTGATAGATAGTACTGAAAAATTGTAAAGCAAAAAATGGAAATGACATATAGTGATTAAGATTTGATTTGTAGTCTTTAATGAGTGATGCTGCCAAGTTCTTTTCTTAATTTCACAATTTATGATGCTTTTTGAAGGAGAGCATGTTTTGTACAGTGATACTTACTTTTACTCAGGTATTCAATAAGTTGATAGATCTGGGCTATTCCTTCTTCAGTTAATGGCGCTCCAAATATCACTCCCTTTTCTGTCAAGCAACACATTAGAAAACATGTGAATATATTGTTCGTGAAAAAATAAACAAAAACTGTAAACAATTGCTTAAATTCTTGCTTAAGTCTATAAAGCAGCTAAACCTAAAGCAGGCGCACATTATCGGCTCTAACCTTTCCGTTTGCGGAAGTTGAAGGAGCGCAGAAAAGCAGTGGATGATGATGAGGGCATCTTGGGCTCCAACTCCCCGGTCAGCTGGGCAAACTCGTCTCCCGGCAGATCTATGAGCCGAGTTATGTTGCTGAGCACTAAATCGGCGTAAATCTGCGGATGCTCATGTCTCAGCCTCTCCACAAAGAAGTCCGGGTTAAATATTACAGGCTGGGTAACGTCTGGTTTTTCCTGACAGAGGAACAGGCTGCATTTTGTCTCCCTGTTAAGAACCAAGCATTCAAAAAACGAGTTATTTATGGATATATTAACCAATTATTTATAAAAAAAATAAGCCTTTAGTCGTGTTCTAAAAAATTACGTACAAATCATGATACAAATCAGTACGATAAAGATTTTTTGTCAGTTGCTATTTAGGGCTAATACCCATTATTGTGAGACGGTTTAAATAACATGGGAAACGAAGTCACTATTACTCTTTTGTTATTTTATCTCTTCTTCTTCTTCTTCTATTGAGTTTTCTGGCAGTTTGCATCCTGTGTGCATTACCGCCATCAACTGGACGGAGATGTAATTCAGAAATATAATGTCTGTATATCTTTATATCTTCATGAAACTAAATTCTATCTATACTTACACACACGCACATACACACACTAAATTCTCCCAGCTAATTCTGTATCTTTTAAATATTTAATAAGTGCTTTAATTATCTTATCTGATTGATGCTTCCCTAATAAATCTGCCATCTTTACTGAACTCCCCATTACCCTTTCCAGTTCTTTCCTCTCTTTTGTATATTTGCTACAATAGATCAACACATGTTCTACTCCTTCGATTTCTCCGCAATAAAAACAATTACCCGTTGGATGTTTCCCTATTATTTTTAGACCTGCATTTAAACTAGTATGCCCAACCCTTAACCTGTTTATCCATATTTCCTCTCTTCTACTCATTATACTGTTATATCCTATGCTAATATCTTTATGTATTTTATATAAATGTCTTCCTTTTTTTTCTAAATTCCATCTCTTCTGCCATACCTTATTTATTTTATCTTTAATAATTACTTTTATTTCTGTTCTACTTAGCGGGACATCATATTCAATTTCTCCTACTTTAACTGCTTCTTTAGCTAACTTATCTACTTTTTCATTACCTAAGATTCCTTTGTGTGCTGGAACCCATGTGAATTGAATACTTATATTTTGTTGCCTTATACCATACATTAAATAACTGACTTCATCTAAAAGATCTTGACGGCTTTCAGATTTTCCACTTTTAAAACTAGTCAGGCAAGACATTGAATCTGAACAGATAACTACATTTCTAGGCTTCACCTCCAGCACCCATTGCAATGCTAAAATAATTGCCAACATCTCTGCTGAAAAAATTGATAAATTATCTGTTGTTCTTCTCTTGATAGAAATATTTTCTTTTGGAATTTATTTTATCTCATAGATTCGCCAGCATATTTATAAAAATGCAGTACCTCCTATTTTTCTTGACACTGTTTTGAGTCTCTTTTCTTCTTCTTCTTCTTCTTATGGGGTTTTATGGCGGTTGGCAGACTTGTGAATTGTGCATTACCGCCACCAACTGATATGGAGTAAAGCAAGAAAACAGAAAACGATTCACCCCCCCCCCCCCCCCCCCCAACAAAAAAAAAAAAAAAAAAAAAAAAAAAAAAAAAAAAAAAAAAAAAAAAAAACCTGTGTAACTTAAACCAACATAATACTAAATCACATTTGCCCATATAATTTTTAATTTACTCTAGGTCATCTTAACTCTGCCAGTTTCTGATGGTCCCATCGGTCCTCCCATCATACTTCCAACCATCTCCCAGTTCAAATCTTTAATGTCCAGATATTTTTCTGCAGCCTTCACTATTATTTTGATTTTTTCCGTTTTTTTTGTTGTCTGTGCAGTACAATTAATTACTTCTACCATGAAAAGAACAAAATTTGTCTTTTTAACAATAAGTGAGTCTTCATCAATTTTTTGATTCTCTAGAGGTTTGGAATTTGCCGTGTGTTGAACTGTAGGTTTGGGTTTTTCTGACTGAGATGGGATCCTTTTTGCAGCTTCAGCGTAGGTTATTCCGAGCTCAAATTTCATTTTTTTAATTTCCTCAGACCTTTTGCTTGCTTCACAGCCGCGATAAGCAGCAGTATGTTCTCCACCACAATTACAGCATTTTATTATAGCTTCTTTTCCACATTTACCATATTCGTGTTCTCCTGCACACCTTCCACACCTCTGTTTCCCTTTACAAACTGCTGCAATGTGACCGAATTTTTGGCATTTGAAACATCTCAATGGTGGAGGATTGTAGATTTTGACATTATAGCTTATGTAACCGATGAATACTTTGCTTGGTAATTGCTCTTCCTCAAATTTAATTAGCACTGATAAACTGTCAGATCTTTCTCCGTTTCTTGTTGTTTTTAACCGTTTTACTTCTTTTACTTTTGCACCGCTTATGTTTTCCAGAATCTCTTTTTCAGAAATTTTTAGAGGAACTCCTCCAATGACTCCCCTGCTGATCTTTTTGTTCTCCATTAGGCTGCACTGAACTCTTATCCCGTCAATTTTGTTGATCCGTATTGCTTTGCCTTGCTGGGCGCTGTCTCTGCAGTTAATTAGCAGGTCTCCACTGTACAGAATTCTGGCACCTCTGACTTCTCCGACAAGTTTATTGATGGTTTTTGTTAAGTGAACCGGATTCCAATTTGTAAAAGAGTCTGCCTGATTAACGACTTTGAATATGACTTTGAATTCATTTTGTTGTGCTGTGGAATGTATGGAATGATCATCACTGGATTGTTCTGAACTAGATTCCCCTTGAACTGATCTCTGTTTTTTCCGCTTTTTCTCATTTTTTGATGTTGCTATCTTCCACCCTTCATTGTCACTATTTCCCTCTTCCATCCCACAAGAATCGCTTCCTGTTTCCTCACTACTCACGGCCCAAGACATTTCTCCATAAGCAGCTTCAAAACACGCGCCATGCACCAAACGACCAATGCTCAAAATCATGCCTTGAGTCTCTTTTCCAGCCGCCATCTTAGTTTTGAATCTTCCGCGGTTTCTTCTTGTTCTTCTGTTGTTAAGATTATTGGCGCTTAGCAAACAATTTGAAAGCGCATTACCGCCACCTACTGGTATGAGTGGGGAAACAAAATGATTTCATATTAACCAATAAATGTATCTACTTCACTTTATATCTATAATATAATAAATACGTATCCTATAGCTTTATCTAATATAATAACAATTTATTATTAATAATATCTTCAACTTTTATTTCACTGACGCTCCTGTTCTTTCCTCAATCACCGACTTTGTAAAAATGCTTTCCCAACTAACTTATTTGAGTCCCAAAAACTTTTCAGTTCCTTTCTTTGTCTTATGCTTTGTTTGATCTGTGCAGTTAACGACATGTGCTATGAATAAAATTTGTTTCTCTGCTGTTGGAGTGAAATTATTTTTTCTTTCGTCTTTATTGTGCTTTTGTACCTGAATCTGTGCTTGATTCATTTCTCTTGTCCTTTATCCTTGAATTATCTTCCCTGCTTCTGTATAGCTTGTATATTGTTGTTGTTTTGACATATTTTATTTCCAGTGCTTTCTTTCAAACCTCACCTCACATCCTCCATAGTTAACTCTGTGCTGGCATCCACAGTTGCAGCACCTTTCTTCAGCTTATTTCCTGCACGTCTGGATTCTGTGTTCTTCTCCACATTTTAATCATCTTTGCTTTCCCCTACAAACTGCTGCCACATGTCTGTACATGCTGACACCTGTAGTACCTGAGTGGAGGTGAAATGAACGGCCTGGTTAAACTGACTGAGAACTCTATCAACAGAGACATGCTTGCCACCCTTTCCCATTGTATGTTTTTATAAAGTCTTTGTATCTTGTTAACCTGGCCTTCAATGATGTGATTTTCTAATCGAACCAAATTCTCGTTATTTGATATTCCTTCTTTTACTCCTCTCACTGTTTAATTCTCTTCTACTACTTTTATATGGATGACCTCTCTGTTCTTTAACTGTTCAACATCCAATGCTTCTTTTTTTTGCTCCTCATTTTTGCAAATTAATTAGCAAGTTTCCACCTCTCAAATTCTTCACTAATTTAACGATTTTCTTATTTACTTCTCTGGAAAACAAATTGGGGCTCAGACAACACTGTTTATCTTCAGCACTGAATCTAAATATTATTTTTATTTCTTCTCTGACAACCTTCCTTCGCACAACTCTCTTCAACTGAACTGCTTTCTTCTAACTCCAGTTTATTTCCTTGATTATCAAACCCGATTTCTTCCCTTTTACTTCCTCTATCGCTCTCTTTTCCACTTGAAACTGTTGTCCATCTTTCCTCATCATCTACCTGACTTACCATATTGTTTTTTACAAACTACTCATCCGAGCCGGTTTCATCTTTGCTCTGCTCTATGTTGTGAAGGATGGTACCAGCATCTGTGCATAACAGTGGGAGGCTAGATCACTGTTTTCTTTTATTCAAAGTCAGTAAAAGGTTGGGTTGGGTAAATTATTTACACTGCATTTAAAACCTTGTAACAATAAAAGCTTCAAGAAACGAAAATAATGCTCCTTTCCTTTATCTGGCATATTTAGAGAATCAGATGGGGGTGGGGGTGATATGAAGCCATCATTTTTTTCCTTTGTTGTTAAGCTTTTATTTTGCAATTTCACATTAAAACCAGTCCTCTAAAGGGAAAAAAAGTATGAGATAAACCTACCTACTGTAAGTATGCAGTGATTTTTTTTTATTATTGCAAGCAAAGAACATTTTTTGTAAACTGAAAAAAAGAACAGAAATAATCTTTAAATAATGTTTTAATATTTGTATTTTTTTCCTCTTTTGTTTTCAAATGTATGTTTCCTTTTGTATCTGTATTTGTCTTATTTTTTCACTTATTTTATATTTAATTTTTTTTTAAATCCATTTTATATTTACTTTTTTGTTTTTAATTTTAATTTTTTTTTTCAGATTGTATTTTACGATTACATTCTTTTCAAATTGTATTCCCTGATCACATTCTCTTCACTGCTGCTGGTGTTTCTTCTATAATGAGACAAGACACAGGACTATTGGCCTTCATAGAGTGTTAGAAAGATTTTTATTGGTCAACATGCATGTTAAGAGTGAGCGTTTCTATTGGGCTTAAAGTGAATATGATATTTGAAAAGTAATTCATAAAACTCAATCTGAAAAGCAGAAATTAGAAAAAAAATTTAAATCTAAAATCTGTAAAGAAAATTTAAAGAAAATTTGAAAAAATACAATTTGAAAATATGAGATTTTGAAAAACATTTTTTTTTAAGTAAACAAAATTTGAGAAAAAAGCAGAATTGAAAATTTTTGTTTTTACTAACGTGTTTGATTAATGGACGGCAGTTTTTTCATATTTTACTTGCTTTCTTCTTCTGCAAATTTCTATTTACAAAACATTTTTGATTGCAATAGTAATGGAACAAATTTCCCTCCATACTTTGAACAAAAGTCTGATCCTGTTAAAAATAGATGAAATAAATTGCCTACTTTTAAGCTTTTGGCCTTTATATATCTTTGACAAATATGAAATAATAGCTGCAGTTCTTCAATTGAAGGCATTCCAGTTAAATGGTAGTCCTGTATTTCTGCAAATACATCAGGATCAAAAAAGAAGAGGCTCTTCAAATTTTTAAACGCTAATTGAAAATTTCAGTGTAAGGTTGTATTCTACTCCCTGAGGCTGAAGGCATCTCCCAGTTACCTGTTCTGCACAGGCCTTTGCACCTTGACAACAATGAGAAAGACATTTATAAACTACTGTTTCATATTATTTGGAAAAAAAGGTAACACATCATTAGGAAATCTACTTTAATGAAATCAGAGGGTTTAATTATTTATCCTTATCCATCTTGAATGAAACCTTTAAGATAATTTGAATGAATCCTTTTTTTAATTCCCCAACCTCTATTTGTAATATTATTCCCTTTTCTATTTTCTTTTTCTAAAATTGAGGGCTTTCCGGTCATAAGTTTGATAAACAAAAACACCACTAAATTCTCTAACTTTAACCGTCAGGCTTTCGTATCATGGTCACATAAACACAACTTCTCCCACTATTAAAAGGTACAATACAGGTATTGTATATAACAATAAAACAATATGTTTTGATGCCCAGTACAATCCCACCATTATTCTGGTAGATTAGTTATTTGTCAGCATTGGCAATTTACGTAGAAATGAAGAATTTCTTTCTAAAATCAATGTTCCTCTTTCATTTAGAGAAAATGCATGACTTTTTGCTGCCATTTCTACAGAAATCTGTATGCTACTTAGACAGAGACCAAGGGTCAATAATTATCAGTGTCTAACTCTTACTCCCACACAGAGCTAATCACCTCTCTGCATGCTTCTGCTCCAGCCTATCATCATTTAAGACTCTGCATTTAATAACCAGATTGACAGAATCCTGCTTTCCAGAAGCTGCCCCCCCAAATACACACACACACACACCTTCAGCTCACTGCATCTCCCTTCATTCTCCGACTCCATTTCAGCACCAGTATCATATCTTAATTAGGTCTACCCCGTTATGCAGATCAGTTGCATTCAGCACGATGTCTTCCACTGGAGTCTGAGTGCAAAAGACTCGTATTTGCATGTCAATACATTGATCTATATTGGTCTGTCCAGGTTGAAATGACAGTCAGTCTTTAGGATCTGTAGTTTGTGAAAGTATTGTTGATTCAGACAATATCAAGTTGCATGACTGACTCAGTTTGTATCTCTTTGAGAACAAATTTTTCTATATAAACTGCATTAGGAACATTTTTAAAAACGGACTTATTTAGGGTAAATTAATTGTGCAAATGAAAAATCTCCTAAATGTATCATTGTACTGATCTTTGTCTAAATACTATCACTCTGCCTTTATAATTGTGTGCTGCATAAGCAGCAACAGCTGCAGCCAAAGCAGAAAGAAAAAAATGAATAAAATAAAAAAATAAACAAGCTGATATTTTTATATCAGATAAAAATGTAACAAATATATACCTCATTGTTATTGTCTTGGGAAAAAAAATTATATATACATATATATATATATATATATATATATATATATATATATATATATATATATATATATATATATATATATATATATATATATATATATATATATATATATATATATATATATATATATATATATATATTGATATGTCCTATTATTTGCTTGGGAAAAAATCAAATAAAGAGGTTCAATTTTGAGAGGTGTTGAAATTGCCCCTTCCATGCATGTCTGAGTTGTTACGTTTCATTTTGTAATAAGATGAATATAAAAGTGAAGTTGTGCTTCAACATCTGAGTTCCTCTTCACTACAAGTTTCCATGGTGATATGCATTATTAAGAGGAGAAACCTTCAAAGGTATATGATCTACAGTAAGCCTAAAGTAAGTTACAAACTCTTTCATTTTTGTCGCCAATCTCCTGTGTGTTAATGTAAAATCAATAAAATAAAACCAATAGATCTTCCATCATTAGAATATATTGTAACATGACAGAATAATTGTACATATTGTTACAGAAAGAAAACTTTGTATATGCTAAAGGAAAGGAATAAACGGCCCATCTTGTAAAATCATTTAATACTTGATTACATGTATACAATGTAAGTTTAGTCATTTGAGGTGTTTAAAAGAAATTCATAGAACAAAATCAGTGTTTAAATCAGTGTTGTATGACATAGAGAACTAAAAGAAATGGGAAAAAGTCACATATTTCTTTCTGACTGAAACTGTTTACTGTATTTTTAATTTTGTAACCCTATCCATAGAACTTTACCTGTAAATTTAAATCCCTAAATGTTTTCTAAAAGTTCTCTAAAAATCTTCTAATCAGAAGGGTACATTTAACAAGTATGTAAGCAAAAGACTCAAGTAATAACCTTTAATTTTTTAGAAATGTTCACCTACAATAGATTAAACTAACAATTTTACAAGCAATTGTTGTACATATAATGAATGGTACAGTGTATAACCTTTAAAACAGAATCCACATTTTTTCAATTACTATACAACATCAACAAATATTATCTAAAGAGACATCACAAAATTGGACCTTACTGGCAATATCACATATAGTTGAAAGCACTAAACAGTTTTTTTAAGTCATAACTGTAGCAAACATTCTTTTACAATAGCAAAGCTGTTATTATATAACATGAACAAAAGGAAGAGAGAGGAAGCAGAAAATAACATGTTTTGTCTCTGAGAGGGTGACAGAATAAAGCATATTATTGAGTGAGCTTTTTGTTGCAGCTAACATTGAAAGGATCTTTCCCTTCCATTGGCATTTCCCTGATCTATTCTCCTTCAGTTTTTTTAATCTTTGCTCATTTTTTGCTTTGTAGGATTTTCTGCCAATCTTCTCTGTTCAGATCAGTTTTACTTTGGTCATCAGAACAAATGTAAAAACATGCAACAATGCAGTACAATGCATGCCATTTTTAATCATGAACCAAAAGGTAGAAGTAAAACTTATTAAAGCCTATCCCTTTCCTATTTTTGGATATAAATTAAAACCATATATTTGCTTGTAGCAAGCAAGGACAGAAGATGTGGAGAGAAAAAAAAGACACAAACATTTGTAAATGTTCAGAGGGCGGAGATGAGAGAGAAAAAAAATGAACAAAGCATGTCCTTAGTTTTTTTTTAGTTTCCTTAATTTGTTTTTTATTTTTGTTGTTTCTATCTTTTCATAAGGTAATTGTTTATTGTCATCTTTCATTGTAGAGTTTATCCATTGTTCTAGAATCCTCGTGGGAAGATTCTTTTTGCACTCATTATTACATATTTAACAATTTTTACTACTAATCCATATCAGTAACTTTCGATGCATCTGTAGTTTGGGATTTATACATCCTTTTGAATCTTTTAATGGAGGTACAGACTTATAATCCATCATGCAGTAGATTCCATAACTTTACTCCAGTAAATTAAATTATATTTTTGAATAGTTTTTATCTTAGTTTTCTGTAATATTCTAGTTCCTCTTAAATGACATTGATTCTGTTTTTGTGTGAACATCTCATGGATACCCTGTGGAAGGATGCAATTGTGTGCAAACGGTCAAGTCATTTATTTTTAATACATTTAGTTTAATAAAAAAAAAAAAAGTGTTGAGGAAAAATATTCTGCTTTATGGATAATCCTAACTGGTTTCTTTTGAAGTAATTAAAGGATTATTATTTTATTTATAATCATTTCCCCATATTTCTACAGAATAGCTGAGGTATGAAAGAACAGAACAATACAGATTTTAAAGCGAATTTTAGTTTATAAATGTATTCGTCTTATATATTATAGCAATTGTTTTAGATATTTTTTCCTTAAGATGTTAAAATATGATTTCCAACTTAACTCACTGTCAATAATATTAATACCTTAGAATATGTTTTCACATACCTTTCTATTTCTGTATATACAACTCTTATTTTTGTAAGTTTCTTAATTTTCCACTTTGCAAAAAATGTACTAAAATCCAGTGATAATTTGTTAATATCAAATCATTTTTTTAAATATTTTACCTCTTCCTCCACTGTATCAGGAGTTGATCAAATTCCTAAGCAGTAGAAACTTGTATCATCAGCAAACAATATACACTTTAACTCCATGTCTAATAACTATTTCGTAATAATTAACATTGTTCACATGCACAAAATGACCTCCAAATCTGACGCCGTACTTTTACAATTTTTTTAGCAGCACTCTATGGTCAATAGTGTCAAAGCCTTGCTTAAATCAATAAAAAACAACAACTCTGTATTGTTTATTATCGGTTTGGGGCGATAATAATAAGATTGGTGCGACAGTTGCGTTGGATGTAGGAGTTTTCCCTGAAATCGAAGGATTGATGGTTCAAACCCCAGCTCCGACTTTCAGTGTCGTTGTGTCCTTGGGAAGAAACTTCACCTGCATTGTCTACTGATGGTGGTCAGAGGGCCCGGTTGCGCCAGTGTACGGCAGCCCCACTTATGTCAGTGAGCCCCAGGGCAGCTGTGGCTACAATGTAGGTTGCCACCATCAGTGTGTGCGTGAATGGATGAATGAATGTAGTTTAAAGCGCTTAGATCAAGTCTCCTGACTTGAAAAAAGGAGCTATATAAGTACATGCCATTTACCATTTACCATCGGTTGCCGTTGTAATGTCTTCAACCGGTTTCATGAAAGCCATTTTACTGATGCTGACTCAATAAGTTACTTTTCTCTATAAAAGTGTCAAGCCTTTCCGCAAACATTATTTTCAAGATTTTGGAAAATTGCGGGAGCAGGGCAATAGTAACTTTGCACAAGAAGGTTACTTCCTGGTTTCTCATGAGATCTCAGTTTTCAACTCAGCTGAGTCCTACGCATATCAATCTGGCTACTGGCAGTTTAGGGCGATAGGCCTGTAATTAGTGAACTGATGTCGGTTGCTGTTTTTAAAGAATGGAATTACTTTAACACTTTTTTTGCTATGGAATATATGCCAGTGATAAAGAACTGATTACAAATACACTATATTGCCAAAAGTATTTGCTCACCCATCCAAATTATTGGAATCAGGTGTTCCAATCACTTCCATGGCCACAGGTGTATAAATTCAAGCACCTAGGCATGCAGACTGTTTTTACAAACATTTGTGAAAGAATGGGTCGCTCTCAGGAGCTCAGTGAATTCCAGCGTGGAACTGTGATAGGATGCCACCTGTGCAACAAATCCAGTCGTGAAATTTCCTCGCTCCTAAATATTCCACAGTCAACTGTCAGCTGTATTATAAGAAAATGGAAGTGTTTGGGAACGACAGCAACTCAGCCACGAAGAGGTAGGCCACGTAAACTGACGGAGCGGGGTCAGCGGATGCTGACGCGCATAGTGCGAAGAGGTCGCCAACTTTCTGCAGAGTCAATCACTACAGACCTCCAAACTTCATGTGGCCTTCAGATTAGCTCAAGAACAGTGCGCAGAGAGCTTCATGGAATGGGTTTCCATGGTCGAGCAGCTGCATCCAAGCCATACATCACCAAGTGCAATGCAAAGCGTCGGATGCGGTGGTGTAAAGCACGCCGCCACTGGACTCTAGAGCAGTGGAGACGCGTTCTCTGGAGTGACGAATCGCGCTTCTCCATCTGGCAATCTGATGGACGGGTCTGGGTTTGGCGGTTGCCAGGAGAACGGTACTTGTCTGACTGCATTGTGCCAAGTGTAAAGTTTGGTGGAGGGGGGATTATGGTGTGAGGTTGTTTTTCAGGAGCTGGGCTTGGCCCCTTAGTTCCAGTGAAAGGAACTCTGAATGCTTCAGCATACCAAGACATTTTGGACAATTCCATGCTCCCAACTTTGTGGGAACAGTTTGGAGCTGGCCCCTTCCTCTTCCAACATGACTGTGCACCAGTGCACAAAGCAAGGTCCATAAAGACATGGATGACAGTGTCTGGTGTGGATGAACTTGACTGGCCTGCACAGAGTCCTGACCTCAACCCGATAGAACACCTTTGGGATGAATTAGAGCGGAGACTGAGAGCCAGGCCTTCTCGTCCAACATCAGTGTGCGACCTCACAAATGCGCTTCTGGAAGAATGGTCAAAAATTCCCATAAACACACTCCTAAACCTTGTGGACAGCCTTCCCAGAAGAGTTGAAGCTGTTCTAGCTGCAAAGGGTGGACCGACGTCATATTGAACCCTATGGATTAGGAACGGGATGTCACTTAAGCTCATATGTGAGTCAAGGCAGGTGAGCAAATACTTTTGGCAATATAGTGTATATGTGAATGGTCTTACTACATAGTGTGTTATATATTTAACCAACATCCTATTTATGTCATAGCTGTCTGTTGGCTGTTTATTTTTAAACTGTCTTACTATTTGTGTAGTTGCATTTTTTTGTACCCTCCGAATTAGGATTTCTTCTAATGGTCTCCTCATTTAGTGCTTTTGTTTCCCTTCGCTCTATGATTTTATTTGATTAAACAGGCCCGACATTTACAAAAAAAAATCATTAACATTTGTTAATTCTTTAATATCATCTATGAAAATGTCATCTTTTAGAAAGTTGTTTGGATTATGTCGACTTTCATTTACATTTCTAATTCTTTTGTTTGATATTTTCCAGGTCCCTTGAATATTGGATCTGTGCTGTTCCAGTTTTTATTGATAATAATCCTTCCTATTTATTATCTTTGTGAGTTTAATATGTATAATATTTGTCAGTTTAATTTCATATGTCTTATATCTATATCCAGTTTCCTTTGTTTCTTTTGTTCTGTGGTCATTGTACTCGCATCCTCGCTGGAACTGGGTGTCCTACGCCAAGACAGACCTTGGTGCTTCCAGTAACAGCGAGGTCTGAGCCTCCTCAAAGTTCTCCAGCAGGCCCTGCGAAATGTGTGAGAAGAAATGCAGAAGAGAAGCGGGTCCAAAGCACCATTGATGTACCACAGAGGAAGGGATAAATATGATTTCAGGACAGTATAGACAGAAAGGACTGTGTCTGACCACACTACTACATAGACCTGCATGAGTGATGAGGCCATATCTGGAAAGTTGAAGAGGAAGAAAGCTACCACGACTGCACCTGAGAAAACACAAACATACATATAGTTTAAATAACAGTTCCTGATGAAATACTTTTATCCCTGAGTTTTAAAGAAGAAAGCGAAGGATACTGTTACACTGTAACCTTTACGGGAAATCAATGTTTAGAATTTATCTTTGCTCACCCATAAGTTTTAAAGCCTTCTTTTCATTAGAAAGTAGCTTTCCATTCCGATGGCACTGAATATCCCGCCTTCCTTCAAAGTCTGGTCTCATAAGGCCCATGTTCCTCCTTTGATGACCATTCCTTCGTAAGTGGAGAAGGATGAGCATGTAGAGTGTAAAGATGGAAACCAGAGGAACCTGAAGTCACACAGGAATATTGAATGTCCATTTCTGATGCTGAAACACAGATCAAACCCATCAAGCTGGTCTCACCAGAAAGAAGAGCCCTGCTCTTAAAAGTAAAGCTCCTTTGTAGATGTGTGCAGGATCAGGCTCTGTCATTTCGCACATGGTGGACACCTTGAAGGCATCTTCCTGCTTTGTTGCCGTGTAGTCCAGGATGCAGGCATGTGCCTGGTCATAAACCAATGCAAATGGCACAGCTGAGACCAAGGAAACAATCCACACAGTGATGAGGCACGGCAGCCTAGATTTCTTTAAGATGCAGAGGAAAGAGAGGTGGGAGAATGCAGTTATTATTGCAGCCTTTCTTTCATAAGCCTTTCTTCAGATCACTAATTACCGAGAGGGACACAGGGCAGTAATCATGATCAGTCAAGACATGGGAAACAATGATTCGCTAATGCACATAGAGAAACACTGCAAGGCTGAAAAGTCAATGAAGCAAGAAATGTGGTAATTCATAGTGAACACTGCGGGCATTAAAGGTGCAGGTTCCATCCAGTCTGAAGAAGGGACTGATGCTCAAAATAAAAATCTTTTATTGGAACATTTTCAGGCATATTCCAGTTTCTTTGTCATAGTTTTTAAAAGCTATGTTATAGAGGAAGCTGTTCCTTCCTGAATAACGCACAACCAGCATCAACTGGTGGAAAAAAAAGTCGACTAAACTTTCCCACACAACTTTTAATTGTGTAACAGAAAGACAGATTTTTCTTTTTGAAAATAGTTCTGCTTGTGAATTCATACCTGTGTTAAGTTGCCAATAAAAATAGCCAACATAATACAGATATAAATTCAGGTATTTAGTTTCCATATTAGCAGAATTAGGCATTATAACTGGACATAACTCTGACCCCTTGATGGCAGCCAAATCGTTCCAGGGTAATACATGGTGGATATGTATCAACTTTTCTTTCCTGCACCTTTCCTGCACCTTTCCTGCTATGTTAGATCAATGCTAGAAAAAAGGGTCACAGTGATCAGTTTTCATAGAATATAGAATGTAAAAATACTTCTCTTCCACTTGTTGCACATTGCTGGTTAGCTCTCTGCACAAAGACTACTACAGTATCTATTAAAGTGGTGTCATTTTTCTATGTGCAGAGTGCATTTTAGGAAGTGTAGCTATTGCTTTTTTTTTAACTAAATAGCTTAGCAGGTTATATACATTTAATGGAAAATGAAGAATCATATCTTATTTGATCACATATTTTGCCAGGATCAAACTCCTTTGAGAAAAAATATTCTTATTGATATCAAAAACATCAGGGATAGAAACCCACAGACAGAGGTTGCAAGTGGCCTTGAGCTTCTGTCATGAAAAAACAGCACAGCTTTGTGACGCGGGTGCCGCACCTTCAGACTGGAGACAGACCACATGGTGTGGCATATCGCTGCATAACGCTCTGTGGTAAAGGTTACAATAACCCAACTTGTGGAGGCACAGTACATCTGGCGGACCATGAAGTACACTTTGCACACTGCTTGGCCGAGGCGCCATGGATAGCTCTCCCAGTAATAGCGATATAAAGTGACTGGGATGGTCAACAGCTGTAGAAGGTCTAAATAGTAAAAAAGGAAAGGGTAGTCATTAAAGTCATAGAGCAAATTTGTCTTTAACTTCTCATTGTTTCAAGATAAAGCACCAAAACATCAAAAGTCCAGTTTTAAGCAAAAGAAGCTGAGATTTTTTAATATAATATATATTTTTTCTGTTTTTCAGAACCATGATGAAAGCATCACTTTCACTGTGAAAGGTGTCAGAGATTAAACTTCAGAGGAGGTGATAAATCATAGCAGGTACCTGAAATAACCAGACTCAGAAGATAGACACGAATGGCACTGACTCTCATATGAGCGTCCATAAGAAGGGTCAGCATGCTCACACCATTGAATACAACCTGTAAAGCAATCAAAGAGGAAGCACTTTGGATCATTAGCATTTCATGCTTTTTTAAGTCTCAATTTTGTGTCCTATGACGCGAGTGCACATACTCCAAGCAAGAAGACGAGGCTGTAAAAGATGGTCATGGGGACAGCGATTCTCAGCGGTTCACTTTTGGTGACGCTGATGTCGAGCTTTGGCGTTTCGCTGGGGCTGACATTACAGCTGAAGAGGAATGAAATCTGCTCTGAGCTGTTCATGCTGAAGCAGGCAGGTAGGAGCTGTGGTAAGATCCTCTGAAGAGCTCTGTGTTGGATAAATTCTTATTAAAAATACATCATTACCATGTAATCATCAAATAAAATGTAATGATTTAGTTTGTTTTAGGATAAATTTAGATTTATGCTATAAAATAACGATTCCAAAAATTCCAAATCTGGTGCATATTTGTTTGGGCATGTCTGAAAGCATTTGAAAAATCTGAGAGCAGAAAATAGGTAATATTCTAACCATGTTCTGTAGTGGAATTTTATATAATTATTAAAGATATTACATAAAAGATTGGATTAATAAACAAACAAACAAAAATTTACCTCTAAAAAGGAAATAGCACATTTGATTCCACTGTCAAAACATGCATTTTAACATAGTATATGATCAAGAAACAGTGATAGTTTTAATAGAATTATTCTTATTTTTTAATACAAACAATTGAGAGTGATTTACTCCACCATCCACAGCACCTGAATTATCTACAATAATAAGTCTAATTGCAGAACACTAAGCAGTAAATACTCTCTCTACTAAATCCTTTTTTCTCTATAGATGTTTTTAAAAAATATAATTAACTTGTGCGACCTACTGAGCCACTCAGACTGTAAAGACAGAAAAAAAGCCTCCCTGCATGTATTTCAGATAAGTAATAATTAGACTCACCTTTCTGAGAGAGGAAGCAGAAAAAATACCAGCAGCTCTCTTCTCGGTCAAAAATTAGAAATAAAAAGCTCAGGCTTTGAAAGGCTCTCCTACTCCCTCTATGATTCCAGCCTCCTCCCTCTCTCCCATCTTTTAAAAAGACATCGTAGTCATAACTGAAGCTGGTAAAATTTTGTGCGTGTAAATGAAGCTTCAAAACTATTGATTTTATGAATGAAAGATGTTCAACTTTAAGCATCATTCCTTAATTTTTTCCTTTCATAACAGATCTCATTAAGCTAAGAATCTTTAAAAGAAACACAATATGTTACATTATACACATGATATTGACATTTTGCATTACTGACATCTATTAAAATGGTCAGACAGAAATATTAACTATTAGAAATAGCTAACCTGTTCTTTAATCACTACCAATATCACAGTTGCTAAGGTTACATGTTTTGACTGCTAAATGGTCTCTTCTTAAAGGGAGGGGACTTAGGGAACAGACACGTCGCTCATCTGGTAGAATAGAGATTTAAGTGTGTTGCTTAGATTTATAACCTCAGTCCACACAGGGATGGCCAAGTTTTTACTTTGATATGATATTTTAAGAAACAACCTGAGTTTTGGGAAATAAAATATAAGAACAAATGAGAGAAGAGGATAACTAACATTTGTAACACTACTCATGTGAAAGAATGTAAATTGAATACACAACGACAAACTATTTTAACATTCAGACTTTGTTCTTTAAGAAAATCAAATACATTTCATTTTAATAAATATCTTTTTCTTTAAATAATTAGAAAAAATGTCAGCATGAAATGCATTTTTAAAACAAACAAAGTCTGAGCAAATGAGTCTAGAGTTCAAAGTTTGCAGACAATCAAAAGCTGCTGAAACTGGCTTTGTGAAAGAATATTTTAACTACTATATGATTTTTTATCTGCATGCCATTGTTAGGAATCCTGCATAAGTGCATGGATCATGGCCAAAGATTTGGTGTTCTCTGACTCTAATATTTTGAATTTAAAAGTCATAAAAGACTGTAAAAGTTTGCAAAAACGAAACATACTGTACAGCTAAATGACCATGGTAAACTCCAAACAATGAGGAATATCCTCTGTGAATAGTAAATGCATAATGACAAAAAAAAAAAAGTATAGCAAATTAGTAGAAAAATGATCATTACTATGAACAAAATCTTTATGAACCAGCTGTGAGAAACAGATTAAAAAATCTGCAGTTAAAGATTTCCACCGGTATTGCTGATATGAGGCTAAATATGCAAAGGAGAATTGCAAATGGTTTTTTACATCTGTGGTAAATCTCAAATTGTCAGTAAACTATGTTTTATGATAAAGAAGCCAATTTAGACAATCACAACCCCATGAAAGAGCAATAAAATGTTCCTCAGAAAAGGCATATCAGTTTAATGACATACCAAAAAGACAATTTTGATTAATCATCACTGGCTAGGGTTAAAAAAACCAAACAAAGGACACAACCAGGCAAATCCTCCAAAGCAAGCTGGCAGCTTGTTTATCAGAATGTTGGGACCTAAATGATTAAGTATGTTTATCAGGGGCTGAGATCCATGCAAGTGCAAAAAAAATTTCATTTCAACAACCATTTCTGTTTGAGCATTTAAAATCACATTTAAATTTGTTGACAGGGGAGAAAGGACAGGGATTCAGACATGGAAGTAAACAACTGAATGTGAGATTTTCCATGTCATTAACAACTGTTTTTGGTTGATATTATATTTTCACATCTATAATGAATAGTTTGTGTGGTGGCAACAGACTAATGAAGCTTGCTGAATATAATCTATGTCTCTGTACCTAAAAGTCTATGTGTAATGTGTATGTGTAAGTCTAAGTAAATCAGCAGTTTCTTTATAACTCAGACCAGTCTTGCCCAAATAACCATTCCATAATCAAAGTCAGTTGAACCCACTTTCTTTTCCATTCTAATGCTTGCTTTAAACTTTCCATCACCATGTCCACTGAGTTTCTACCATTGAGTATAAAGCACAAAAACATTTCAACCGTATCTCAGAGCGCTTGCCCTTTACATAGGATTAAAACTGCAGTACAGTCTCCAGGATTTTCTTGACACTTTGATCGTTAATGAATTACAACAAATAGGAAGTTTGCATAATTCCCCCTCAACTTTGCAGTGTTTCTAAACCTCTATAGTTAGTTATATTCCATTTATCTATGAGAAAAAAAAAACCTTTTGAGCAGCATAGTAGGATGCAGCGGGAGTGTTCAGGAGGAAAGAGCATAAAGCAATTTTTTGCAAAGGTTTTAAGCCTTTTGTGCTTCTCTAAATGTGGAAGCAATCAGATCAATCCTTGCCACAAAGTCTAAAATCTGTGATACGCACTGATAACTCTAAGCTGATCACACTGAGGCTTTGAAGCCTGAACCCGTCTTTTCTACTTTATCCTTTCAAATTAGTTTCCTTACTGTCTTGTTACTTGCTTGAATTGTATGACCCTTTTACAATGGTATGTGACATTTAACCTTTGATTATTGTTTGGTTTTTGTGGTCTTGTAAACAAAAAGTGGTCTATTAAATTGGTCAAAGCAGGCTTTGCTGATCATTCACTGCTTAATTATGTCATATGAAAAACCAACCGATCTAACTCGGGGATGGGACTATTAACAAAGTCATACATGCAGAAAAATTCAAAATCTCTTATATTTATACATACGTTTAACAAATCACTATAATTAATTAGATTGGGGCAATTTATGTCTTCCATAGCCACTCTGTCAAAGGTCTTTGTGTGTCTACTTCACTGCTCAATGTGACCAGTAAAAAAAGTTTCTATTTTAGACTTATTTTATATAACAGTATTTTCTTTTTAGGTTATTTTTTTTTTAGGACTGATTGTTTATAAACATTGATGATTTTGACAAATCTAAATTGATTTATTTTACACAGAGACAGAGTGAAAAAATTATTAAAGAAACATACAACAAAATGTCAAACTGTTCATTTAAAATCTGAATAGGGAGTCGGGTGATATAAACTTTCTATTGAGGCATTAGGTCAAAAAGATCATTTATTGAATCTTTACAAATATTATATACATGCAAAGCATATTTCCTTCATATTGTTTCCTATAAATACAACACATTTTGCAATGTGTGTTATTGAAAAAGAAAAAAAAAACTAAAAGAAAAATTAAAAGAACTTTTCAAAAGAAAGCAGATGTGGTTTGTTGTGTTATCCCAGCATCCTTTGCCATGGAGTAAAAATGGCCTCGTTTTTCCAGCAGATTGCTTGGAGTATCAAATTCCACGATTTGACCAGCATCTAGAACCATCACCCTGTGGAGCAGAAAAATGTGTCAACATCATATCCAACTGAGCAGAGTTCATACTGGCTGTGATGAAACCAACATGAACAGCGCAAACATTTGAAGAGAGAGTCTAATATTCACTTTTAAGATTTTTCATATTAATTTCGTCACTGTTGTGCATCAGAAGAAAAATATTAGTTTTATTTGAGCATATTTCAACATATCACTTTTCAATAAGAAAATTTAAAATATAGATTACAGATTTACAACAATATAGAAAATGATCCCTTCGCTTCACCTCTCCCTCTGCCTTAGTGGTGCTGCTGTAACATCCAGGTGAGTCCTCTGAAGACTTTGAAGTCTGTCTGTGTTTTCATGTTTGACTCCCTGTTCCCTGACCCTCACACAAAGGACCAACTTCACCCTCACAGCCGCTGAATAATATCCTGCATGAATCCAAACTTCAAAAAATTCTTTGATTTTGGATTTTAAAGTATAAATATATTTATTTGGAAAATATGAAACAAAACCCCAAAAATAACCAAAGTTTATGAAGCCTATATACCTCGGAAGAATTGAGAGGTTCACAATTCTTACATAATCCCAAATAAGAAAGTATTGATTTTGCACTTTTTTGTATATTTTAATTGATTCATTGATTGTCTTTACTGAACTCGCAATGGAGAAATTTACTTGTTACATCAGCTCAAATAGTCAAAGAAGAAGTATGTGCCAAAGGAAGAAAAAGGTGCATGGATATACAGTATATACAGTACATCCCCATATAACAACTCTTTTTATATATATACATATATATATATATATATATATATATATATATATATATATATATATATATATATATATATATATATATATATATACTTCTAAGAAAGTATATGTTCAGAAAAAAAGACTATTTCTGGAAACAAAAATATTCTTGCCGATACGGTTTTGTTTTAGGGTCAAGTTCTGAGCACCACATTATCCACAGGAATCCTGAACGAAATAACCTCCTCTGATGGTTGCCGTGCTTCAAACAATGTTTTATTATAAATTATAATTCCTGGTGTAAATTGTTTCTGTTACTTAGCCAGTTTAGAAGAAATGGATTAAGTATTTGCATGTAAATTAATTCATAATAATTATAGAATGCACAATTTTATAGTTGCATTAACTTCAGATTCTAGTAACTTTTGTATACTCAATTGTGCTCCTATACTTTGTTTCCTCTATAGTAACTGTTGAACCAAGTCTAAAGGTAAAGATTGTTTGACGATATATTGATCAATTTTTATTAACACGATTTGTGCCTGCCCAACTTAGTCAAAGAAAGAATAAAATCAGGACAGACAGGCTTCTGTGCTGGACTTGGACTCACCTGGAGCTGTCCATGATGCTGTGCAGGCGGTGGGCGATGGTGAGCACTGTGCAGTGGGAGAACTCCTTGCGAATGGTATTCTGAATCAGGTTGTCTGTTTCCAGGTCAACGGCTGCTGTGGCTTCATCCAGGATCAGGATCCGAGACTTTCTAAGCAGAGCTCGAGCCAGACACAGCAGCTGCCGCTGTCCGACACTGGAAAGAGAGAAACACATATTCAAACTCTTTTACTGCTCTCAGAAAGAAAAATAAAATCACATATGAACACTCATCAGGACTGGCCACGATTAAAGCATTGACACATATGGGAAATGGTCAACTGATACAAATGTCTGAGATTGGTAAGGAACTTCTGTATGGAAAAAGTTTTTTTTTCTGAATGATCACATTTAAATTATTGTTCTCTGCAAAAAAAACAAAGAATTTCAGCTGCACAT